CCCCCCTTCCCCACCCACACACCCTCCCCTATCCACTTTGATGCATTTTTCAAATTTTGCCTTGGGATGGAGTCATCTTTTCACAGGGGGGTAAGATAAACTTTAAAATTAGCATAAGAGGCAAGTCCGCTGAAAAACATTCCAAAGAATATTATTTTGAAGGAAATGAAGAGCTCTCAGTATATTTCTATGAGAGAAATTATGMATAAAGTTAATTAATTAATTAACATTTCTGTTTCCCCATTTAGGACATTCTTATATCCCCCCCAGCTCCACCCTCTATTCCCCTTTCAGAAAGGTGGTATACACAAACCTGGAGGGGTCCGAATGCCCACTGTAGCGGCCAGTGTTGGTGCCAGCACCCGCTGTGCTCGATCTGGGTGCAGAATACCCGCTTGGTATGGAGGGGGCATCACCTGCCTGGAGACGTGGGGTTTGGGACTGGCCTAGMCGCCAGGCCATGGGGGAGGAGCGTGCAGTAAGGGTGGGTAGACTCCGCCCATTGACTTCTGTGGTTACAGTGGTGTCAAACGTTGTTTCTAGTGTACTGATGACACAAAAACATAGAGAATAAATAAATTATTCTTGCACTTTCATTAAYTGAAGACCAGCCTAATTTTATGTTAAGAAATGACAATGTTACACTGTTTTTGTAAAACCTTGTAAACACTACGGTTGTAAGAAAAATATTAATACATTGGAGTATTGCAATATTTCATTTCCTTATACTGTATCAATTCTCAAAAGCACTGTATTAATTTTAAATAAAAGCTAAAAATTGTAACTTTCATGCCACTGATTCTTTCTTATCATATTTTAGCTTCCGACCTCTAGTYAGCAGCAGTGAGTCAACCATTTGGCTGTTTTACATAGCAATTTCAAATACAAATGTAGTTCAGTGTTTATCTGATTGCATACAAATAAACTGAGATTTTATACATGTAATGCATGGTGTGCTCTCACAAAAATAATATTTTGGAGGGAAAAAATGGCAATCTGTATATCGCCCTGCTTACAGTATTGCAAAAATATTGCAATATATCATAATCCCATCATATACATCATATCACCATTTTTTTGCCAATACACAAATTTCCTAGTAAATGCTGTAATGCAATGTCATGCCATGACATGTGATGTGTTAGCAACAAAAGTATGTGTTTTGCTAGCTAAAAAAGAACAAAAMTAAAAAAATTAAAAAACACTGGCTAAAAYGARTAATGTAATAAAGMTAAAAGGTAAAATCAGCAAATGCTAGATGAAAATAACAACAAAATGTTAGCTAATAGCTGAAAGAACAATAAAACCACCTAAAATAGCAAATATGTAGCTCAAAGTTAAGAGTATAACATCATGCTGGTTAAACACAGCAAAAGACTAGATAAAAAGTTAAAATAGCAAAATGCTAAATGAAAGGGGGCAAAATATTTGCTGGTAGACAAAACTAAAAAGGAAAAAAAGCAAAACCATAGAAAGCAGATTTCAAAAAGAAAAGTATTTCTAAAGGACTTAGAGATTTATTTCTATGGGGATTTTTTTAAATAGGTGAATATTTTTAAATTTATACAAATGACAAAAAACAGACATTACAGATGGAATGTCTTGAATGACCTGAATATTTGGACTTTTGAGTTATAAAAACACAACAAAGTATGCACGCATTTTAAACGAGCAGAAGGAAAAACCAATAAAGGAAAACCTGATCACCATGGTTAGACTTGTGCAATTTCAGCTGACAGGTTTAAAATGACAATATCCTCACTAACAACTGGTGACCACAGCACAACCAGCCTCTGCATCATCTGGTTTCTGGACACAGAGTAAAGTGGTCTTTGGTGCACCCTCTGCTGGTAAACAGTGTCCACTGCTTCAAAAATAAGCAAAACTTGCTCTAAACCCACACGGCTGCACTGATTTGTTGCTTCAAGAACAATCTGCTCATTTGTATTCCACTCACAAACATTTACAGATAGACCAAGCAGCTTTTCATGTCACATAAATTGCTTTGGAAAGAGAACTATTTTTTTCCATAGTCCTTTTGACATGGATGGTCATGTTAATAATTTTAAAAGTGTTCATTWATTTTTTATCTCATAATTAGCCCTCGGTTTGCTGGCTTTCATTTACAAATATGAGCAGAAAGCAACCAGTTATATAGCATTAATAATGTATCTTTAGACAATTCTGTTTGATTTAAGATTACAAATAAAAAAAACTGGCATGGATAAATTAAAGGCCTGATATAATTTCAATGGAGCCCTTTTAATCAAACCTTGGAATGACATGACAGCATATCTTATTCAATATAGTGATATCTTGCAAGAAGTGCTCAGAGTATCTGTTGTGAATGATGCTCAGCGACTACCAAATCAAATATTAGCTCAATATCTGTAATATTGGCACGCTTACAGTCATTTCTGTGTTAAGATGATCAGTTAGCTTCTTTGGTGGCCACCTTGAATTGGGTTTACATCCGACTGYGAGTTTCATTAAAATGTGTCCTGTGGAAGAAGATGGCGGGTTGTGTGGGAGGACAAGCCTGATGCTGCACACGAGCCTGTCTTAGGTGACAAATCCAATGTCATCTTAGAGCATCACAGATAGCAGGATGAGTGTGTGTGTGTGTGTGTGTGTGTGTGTGTGTGTGTGTGTGTGNGTGTGTGTGTGTGTGTGTGTGTGTGTGTGTGTGTGTGTGTGTGTGTGTGTGTGTGCGCGCGTGCTCGCGCATGCAGAGTTGGAAGCGAAAGGGCAGAACATTGCACATCTGTGATGCCAAGTGTCAACATGGCAGCCACATTCAAACGTGTCTGACACCTGAGAGTAGAACTGTTATCATGCCCAAATAAATTATAAAGAATGCAGGTTTCACAATCAAAYATGGGAAAATGTGGAAATACCTTTATTTCAATTTGTAATCAAATGGAAATGGAATGGAAACCATTTATGTGTTGAGAAGACAAATTGTTATATCAGCTTAGCTTGTTCCCTCCAGACACAGCAGAGAGAGAGGATAAATGAAAAGAAAGGGACGAAATAAAACATTGTGGTCAGGATAAATGTGCAACCAAAACTGCACAGAGTTGAAATTATTTAATACCATAAATGACCAAGTATTGGGTTCAAAAGTAAAACAAACAACTAGAAAAGCTGACATTTTCTGACTGAATGTTGAGTGCTGTATGACCAAGTTGTAAAATTAAAATGACCAGAACAGAAGCTGAAATAGGAAAAAACCATAGTTCAATGCTTCCATCCATCCATTTTCTGTACACGTGGGTCAATGGTGCCCATATCCAGCAGTCACAGTGCGAGGGGCGGGGTACACCCTGGACAGGTCGCAAGTCCATCACATTGTTCAATGCTTAACTCTGCAAAACTGTAAATAAAATACTAAATCATCAAAACAGTAGCTAAACTCTAAAATTCAAAAACAGTCAATAAAACCAATCAGTTGTATTGACTAGAGATGTCATGTACGCTTCAGAAGATTGACCCCCTGTAGTACAAGTGTCATGCCATATTGGAAGGGGCAGGCTGTCAATGTAAACATTTTATCATCTAAATTTCTGAGCTGAATTGCTTTCCATTGGTTAGCTTCTGCCTATTAGAAGCATCATTCATTGCAGATGTGTGTACCTTGGCATTTTGTTTTTGTATTATATACACTGACAAACATTTCTATCACATCAAAATATCATTGACCTAAATGTAACATGTCATGGTTACCACATTCAGCTTTACCAGCTTGTCCTCACCCTGAACAATGTGGCCGCTCTCTCTCACCATGAAGAGTCACGTAAAATAAGATAATATTTACTGTCATTGCGCAATAATACTTTGAACAGCAACACAATTTTGGACAATACATTATAGTGCCTCTAGCCCGTACACCTCATTGAATAAAACCTAAAATTATGATAATGGTAGTTTTGAGCTAAAATAAATAACTAACATTAGCAAAATAGTATCCAAAGGATAAAAATTAGCAAACATATGTAAAAGTTCAAGCTAATTAAACAGGAGTTAAAAAGTCAAATTTTTATATTTATGCTAAAGCTATCAACAACAAAGATTACATCTCAATTCTGAATGTTTTGTGAAAGTATTCGCTTTAATTTAAGATTAAGAATTAATCAGAGTTTTTTTGTTTATTGCCAAAAACTCAGCCAGAGGAATCCATGCAGACAGCAGGAAGCTGCTAACAGCTGAGTAATGCTCTTAGTGTATTTTTTTTAAAAATATACTTTGTTTCTGCTGCTAATGAGCTCTGAGTTAATGTTTTCTGAGGCAGGATAATCAAATTCATAAGACTTTCTACAGTAAAGTATCTGTTTGTTTCATGTCTAATGTTTATCGTTTCTGTGCGTTTTCCTCCTTAAAGGCTTAATATCCCTCCTTGGTGGGAGGTCAGTTTGATTTTTGTCTCATCAATCAGTTGTTCCACTGATCCCCTATTTCTCTCTCTCTCTCTCTCTCTCTCTCTCTCTCTCTCTCTCTCTCTCTCTCTCTC